CCCTGCTGAGCAGCCCCTCATCCCCAGGGCGTGGAGGACGCCTTCTACACGCTGGTGCGCGAGATTCGGCAGCACAAGGTGCGCAAGCTGAGCCCGCCGGACGAGGGCGGCCCCGGCTGCCTGAGCTGCAGGTGCCTGCTCTCCTGACGCCGCCTTGCCCCCCGAGGGCCCTCCTGCTCCTCCGCCAGCCGCACAGGCCCGGGCCTGGAGGGGCCGGATGCTGGGAGGAGGTGCAGACGGAGCAAGGAGGGGGAAGGAAGGAAATGCCGCCGGAGCCCGGCCAGCCCAGGGTCAGTGGACAGAGTGACCGCAGACCTCCCAGGACGCTGTGCACAGACTGTCGCGGACTGATGCCACCGGCACCGCAACCCGGCTATTCCACCTCCCAGCCCCATCCTGGCCCGTCGGGCACAGGTTCAGTTGCAGTAAATTATTTGATGGTCTTGACCCTGGCGTCTGGCTGAGGCTGGGCAGCTGCCGTGTGCGTGGCCTTGAGTCAAGGCACAGTGGCAACTTCAGCTCGGGGGGCGGCAGCCCCTCTGGTGCTTCCTGCAGGGCTCTAGGGCACTGCTGGGACGCGTGGGGCCGCGTTTTAATACGAAACGCTTTACTGACCTTTGATCAGCAAGGGGGAGAGTTGGGACCAAGAGCACCTCCCGTCCCTTGTGGGGGGTCTTCTTAGGGAACACTGAAACCAGAGGGGTGGGGCTGGTGTCTCCCACCTTGGAGCTTCTTGACTGCAGGTGGGGTCCCATTTCCTGGGCTTTCGGGATCCTGAAAGGCAGTGGCTGGTGACCGGCAGAGGGCAGGCCCTGGCCCATTGGGTCTGTGCCCACCAGTGTCTTTGGGCCTGGTCCAAGGCAGCAGCTGGCTAGTTCTCAGCTGGACTCCAGTGCTGTTCGCTTGGCCTTGGTCCCTACCCCCTCCACACCAGGTGGCTGCTCAGGGCCCAGCGTCTAGCCAGCCCTGCTCCCCTCTGCAACGAGGGTGGGGCTGGCCTGTCCCCGTCACTCTGTCACATTGCTTTGTGGGGCATGCCCAGGCCTCAGGTGGCCACATACTCCCCCGAGAGGACATGTACTGCTTTGGGCCAGAATTTAGGACTGGCCAGGGCCACGAGCTCTGGCCCTCCTTCTGGCTGTGGGCGGTTCAGGGCCCATGTCCATGTCAGGTCTCTTTGGCTCATGCTGCCTGAGAGGACCATCATCTGTCAGGCCAGTGTGAAGAGGCGGGGCACACTGCTGACTGGCCGGGGTCTTGGGGCCATCCCTTTTGTGATCACCCTGCCCTTTGGAGACCCCTAAGCCTCCAGCTTCCCTGTGGACGCAGAGATTCAGGGGCGGTGGGATGTGCCAGGCCTAGGAGCAGGAGCAGGATGGGTGTCTTGGGCCCTGTGGTCCCGTCTTTGTCAGGCTAGGTGGGACCTGTCGCTGGGCTCCTGGGGTGGCCCAGGCAGGTGTTGATGGGAAAGGGACCCAGTGTAGTGGCTCAAAGCCGGGGTCTGGGGACCCCTGCCCCCAGTGTCCAGGTGCACTGAGAGTTTTGAGTGGGATGCCCTTCGCTGTGGCTGTAGCTAGTCTTCAGAGCTGTCCTGGGTTGGGAGCAGTTAGGCCAGACACAGAACAGCCCGGGCTCCCAGGGCTAGGTGTGTACCTATGGGCCCTGTAGAGACCTTCCTACCACTTAGCTTTCGTGACAGCCTGGCCAGGCAAGGGCCCAGACTCCTCACACTGGGCGAGTGGTCCAGGGAGGGCCAGCCCGTCCTCTGGGGAGCATCTGGGTGCTGGGGATACCGGCTCCAGCCCAGGGGCATTGTGGGAGCTCTTCAGGTGCTGCTGGCAGTGAGCAGACTGAGTGAGCATCTCCCTCAGGCCACGTGGCCCACGCTGGGGATAGCCCATGGTACCTCTCTGCGTGGCTGTTCTCACTGACCCTTAACGATCTCCAGGCGGCCGGCCACCAGTGTCATGTGCCGTGACACCTAGCCCGGCGCAGCCAGATGGGTCACCCCCTGGGGAGGCCCGGGCTCCACCAGCGCCCCAAGGCCCTTTGTGTGGGCACTGTGACTTGCTGGGGTCCATGGGCAGCGCCTGGCAGGGCCCCCCGTTCCCGCCTCGTCTCTGGAGGGCGGCCAGCCCAGCTTGTGCCTCGGTGCCCCCCTCCCCGGCTGCTGCCCTGCCCTGGCACAGGGGGCGCAGCTCTCTGCACTCTGAGGACTGTGCGCCATGGCCTTGAGTACACGCTTGTCCAGGACGCAGGCATCCCCAAGCTTCAGGGTGAGCAGGACACGGTCTGTGGGGACAGGGTTGGGAGGGCAGCCCGAGCAGGCCCCCTTCTGGTGGACATCCTGGTGGGGACATGGCTCTTGGACAGAGGTATTCTCGCCAAGTCCACTTGATTCTCAGGGCCAGGCCAGCCTGACCTGGGAGCAGCAGAGCCCACCTCACTCTGGGTGGGCGTGCTCCCCGCGAGCCAGATACTCGTCCGCACCCTGGCTGGCTGGCATTCCCCTGGGGACCCAGACGGGAACGTGGGCCTCTGGGACTCTTTGAGGGAGGCCTGCTTTCCCAGCATGGGTCTTGGCCCTGAACCTCAGCCTCAGGCTCCCCTCGGGGGCCTGGCTTGTCTGGGGGTGGGGGCTGAGCTGGGCCCTCCCTGGGCCACCAGACAGTCTCCTGGGCAGCTTTACCTGTCACGAAGCTGTGAAGGAGCCCCTGATGGTGTCAGTCCTGGTGAGCATGTGTGCCTCGTCCTCAGGGAGAGCAGAGGCTGGAAACCTCCCTGTGTCAGGGGCAGGGCCTCCGATGTCCCTGGGCCGGTGGCCTAGATGCCTGTGGGGCAGCCACAGTGCCTCTGCCTACCAGGGGCTGCTCAGCTTCAGGGGCGCTTGTCCTAGAATGTGCTCTGCTGGGCCTCCAACAAGTCGGAGCCTGCTCCTGGTGGGGCGGACCGGGCCGCGGACGGCAGGTGCCCCGCTGAGCCCGAGGCCGCCAGACATGCTTCTGAGCACTGGCGGGGCAGAGGGCCAAGTGTGGGGGAGCCCTGTGCTGAGGGTTGGGCATCCCAGTCCCGGGAGTCCCCCTCCCTGCCCTGGTCACACCGGGGGGCACGGGGTCCTAGCACTGGGGAGGGCGGGCAGAAGGTGCCGGCCACAGGGTGTTAGGGGTGCAGGCTGTCTCCTGGGCTCAGGAATCAGGCTGAGGGCACGTAGGAGGGGACTTGCTACCGTCTGGGCTGCTGCTGGCCGTGGGCCGAGAGAGGGCAGCTGGGCGGTGGCCAGCGTGAGGCACAAAGGTTGGCGGGACGTGAGGTGTCTGCCCAAGGATGGGGCCAAGGGCAGTGTGGGGGCAGTGCCCTTCACTGATGGGTGGGGCCCGTGGGGCTGCAGGGAGGCCCCCGGGCTGTCCTAAGGCCGGCCGTGGCCACCCACCATGCATGGCGTGCCCTCATTGGTCATCAGCTGGGCCAGCACCCAGGAGGCACCCTCCTCGCTTGGGAATGTCAGCAGGGGTCACAACCTGGCTCGAGCCCTGGCTGTACCCCCCCGCAAAGGGCCGACACCCTGGAAGGACACCCTTCTTGACACCACATCCCAGCCTTTACCAAGCCTTTCGACAGATGCCTGTGTGGCCCGCACTTGCCCGGCCAGGAGTGCAGAGCCGAGGGTGGCATGGGGCCACCTGAGGTGCGAGGCGGGCCAGAGGGCCACTGTGCCAGCTCGGGCGCCCGTACTACGGCAGCACCGTGCACTGCAGGTGTGGTTCTGGGTCCCCTCAGGTCTGGACACTGCGCTGGGAGGGCAGGTTTGCAGGCAGCTGAGTCGTCTCAGCTGTGTTCCTGGTGGGGACGTTCTAGAGAGAGCAGGAGCAGGGAGCAGCCACCTGGGCCCCCGCTGGCCTGTGTGCCGCACCCACGGAGTCGTGGTTGGTGGCCTGCTCGGTCACCAACACTCACTTTTAAGAGGCAAGGGCTCCACGGGACGCCACGCCTGGGTGGCGGACACTCACCGTGTCGTACGTGGCATAAGCGGGCAGCGCGTGGGACAGGGCTGGCTGCCTGCAGACAGGGACAGCGGGTTGTTGGCTTTTCTTTGACGAACCCCACCGACAAAACAGCTGTGGCTCACTTCACATGGAGCGAGGGACAGAGGTGCCTGCTGGCCCTTCTGCCCGGGGGGCTGTTTGAGACACAGGCCCTCAGAGCCGAGCGCACCGTGTCTTTGCCTCGTTTGCCCTTCTTGCCCCGTCTGTCCTCAGCCATGTGGGCACCTGCACCTCTAATCAGACTGAAGTGTGGGCCACAGTGCTGAGTGGCCAGATGCCTGGCCCCAGCCCCAGCCCTGCCCATGTCCCCTGATTTGTGTGCTGGGTCACTCAGTGCAAGCCTGCACAGACTGGGCCCTTGGTGGGCACCAGGGATGAGGCCAAGCTGGAGACGGGTCCCGCCTCCGCAGGGGCGTTTCTGCAAATGGAATCCCTCGCTGACCTGAGACGGAGGGTGTCCAGATGACAGTGCAGAGACCCCAGATGGCCGGTGGCTCTGTACAATGACAGATCAGCGTCTTCCCAAGGTCCCAGGGCACCCCTGCTTGGTGTCCCCGAAACCCAGCGGGGTGCCGTGTCACGGGCATCCCAGAGCGCCTCCCTCCCTCCACCCTGAGGTGGCTCAGGAACTTGTGACAGTGGGCACGGCAGGAGGCATGGTCCCGCCTGCCCGAGGGGAGCAGCCTGACAGCCTGTGCTGCTGGTCCTTGGCTAGTCCCTGCCTGGGACACGCCTGCTCTTCCTGGTGACGACCCCGCTGGGCTGCGCCGTATCTGCTCCCGGGCTGTGACCTCCCAGGCCTCAGCCGTTGGTATCTGGCAATGACCTCTGCTCGTTCCAAGGCCAGCAGGGTCTCCGGGTCCTCCACGTGCAGTGCTGTGAGAAAAAATCCCAACGATCCCACTGCACTCAGGGCTTCGGAGAACGAACAGGTCTGCATCCCGCTGGCAGCTCCCGTCTGGCCGCAGTGGAGAGACGCCTGTGCCAGGCCGGCCTGCGGATCCCAGGCGCACGCCCGCACTTGGTGACCCTCCCCTCAGACCACTTCCCAGCCGAGGGGAGTGGCCCCGGAGAGACCGCGGGACGCCCTTGGGCAGCTTCACGAGGAGGCTGGACGGAGGCCGGAGGCCGGCCGACGGGGCGCCGGAGGGCCGATCCTGGCTCCCGAGTGTGCAGCTGCCGGCCAGGGTGGGCCTCGCAGGCCCTGAGGACCAGGCTGTGCCCCGGGACACCGAAAGCACAAGCGACAAAAAAAAGCTGGTAAACTGGACTCGAGCAGATTAAAAAACTCGTGGCCTCCAAGGACACTGTCAAAGTGAAACCCCCACGGCGAGTGAGGTACCTGTGTCGCGTGTCGGGGTCTGGTGGACAGACTGTGGAGAACTCGCCATGCGGCAGCGACAAGTCAGCGGCCGGACCAGGGAGTGAGCGTGGGGCGTGGGCACAGCAGACGGCGCACTCGCTGTCGGGCAAGCGTGGTCCATCCACTGGGAGGTCCCACTCGTCGCCCGCTGGACTGGCTGTCACCAACACAGCAGAGAAGGACAAGCGCTGGCACGGACGTGGACAGTCAGGACTCTCCGCGTTCCCGGGGGACATGGGAAAGGGTGCTGTAGCCGTGGGGACAGGCTGGCGGGTCCTCGGAAAGTTAGCCGTAGGTCAGCACGTGAGTCCGCTCCTTAGTGTGTGCCCACGAGAAGTGGGGGCAGGGACACCAACCAACAGCCCAGCAGAGCCACTCACAACAGCCGAAGCAGGGTGGCATCCGAGTGTCCTGGGCAGGCGACTGGACAAGTCGCATGCGGTCCGCACCACACAGCCGCAGGGCAGAGTGAGGTGCTGCCGTGCCACGTGCCCGCCGTGGTCGGACTGTGGAAGCGTCGCCCGCAGAGCCGGAGCCGGAGTGGGCCGCTGGTTGCCAGGGGCTCGGGCGGCGGGGCGGGGTCTGCTCACGGTGAGGGGCTGCTCGAGGAGGCGGGAGGGGTGGCCAAGGCTGCACGACTCCGCAGACGTCCCCCCGACCCCCCTCCGAACCCCCATCCCGCACACCCTGACAGCTGGCCTTCCTGGTTTGTGAACTCGAGGAGCGCGCAGAGCCAGACTCCCACCGTCTCAGCCCCAGGGGACCCTAAAGGTGGGAGGGAGGAAGTGCCGGGGGCGCGCCCAGCCACGGACACCCTCAGCTCCTGCCCTGGACCGGGCGGGCACCAGGGGACGGCCGCACTGCGGGGGCCTGACACCTTCAGGGCTGTCTCTGGGAGCGTCCACAGAGCGGGCGACCGCCACCCGACTCCATCTTGGCTGATTCTGGCTGGTGAATCAGTGCAGGGGACACACCTCACCAATCGGGAAGGGTTTGGGTTGGGGGACAGGATTACACATTTGACCTCGAGCAGCCTGTCCGTGAGGCCATCTCTGTAGGGTCACCTATGTCAGTTCGGAGCTCAGCACCACCTCTGAGCACCCCAGGCAGTGCCCAGGAGCCTCTTTCTTCCCACACCCTGTCTAGAGGTGACGCTGCTGTCTCTGCTGCCTGCACGGTGGGGGTGGGCTTCCGCTGGCCAGTGGCGGGCGGTGGGTGCGGTGCCCCTGCGGCCGCCTTTGTCTCATTGGAAGGAGCTGGCAGTGCCTTCCCACCCGATGGTCTCCTGCTGCTCCTCGGGGCTGGGGCTGGGCCAGGTCCTGTTGGGGACCCAGGCGGGCCTGGAGAGAGGCCAGAAACCTCATGCCCATCTTCCTGCTGGCTCCCAATAGCCCCCACCACGCAAGGACACGCTGCCCAGGTCCGTGCAGACCGGTGCCCGCAGGGGCTGTGGCAGGCATCCAGGGCCTCGCCGCGATGGCCCCCGCTCACCGTGACACCAGCTCTGGAGACCCCCCGGCTCCGTGAGGTCAGCCCTGTGCCTCACGCGGTCGTCCTGAGGAGACGGAGATAAACGAGACTCACGTTCACATTTTGTTAGTTGCCACTTGACCGTTTCCAGAGAAAACAGCTTGAAGCCAATAAAGAAGGTGATTTTCAAAAGCGTCCCCACTTGCGCCCCTAGTCCCAAACTGAAAGGCCCCTGCGGCCCAATATGCCCTGTCCCGCAGCCTGCCAACTCCTAGTTACTGAAAACCCGGCCCTCCAAACCCACTGACGACAAACTGCGCACGACTGCGGCAGAGGGACCTGCTCCCCAGGCAGGCCTTGCATGCCCCCAGCTCTCCGGCACAGTCCCCGAGTGCTCGCCACTTCCATGGAGCAAGGATAAAGGACAGACTTGGAAAGGGAGAAGTAAAACTCCAGAGCTGCACAGGACATGACTGGCTATGTGGAAAATCTCAAGGTCTCAACAAAAACATTCCTGGAACAACTGATCTTACTGAGGTCACAGAACACAAGGCCAACGTGGGCAACCTGCCGGTTGCACCCCTAACGAACACGTGAGACCAGGATTCAATACAGCGTGCCGTTTACCGTCAGTCCCCAGAAAATGGGACACTTAGGTATAAACTTGACCAAACATACACAGAATCGTATGCTGAAAATTGGCAAATGCTGATAAAAGGGGACCCAAATAAACGGAGACGCCCCGTGTGCATGGACCGCAGACAGCACGGGAAAGATGCCCATTCTTCCCAATAAAACGGACCTCGTCCAAATTCAAACTTTGTTCGGCAAAAGGAACATTAGAAGGTGAGAGGGGGGCTGCCGACGGGGGGCGTCTCTGCAGACCCGCGGCCGACAAGGCATTAGTATCCAAAACAGGAAGAACTCTGGAAGCCCAGCAGTAAAAACCCATCCCAGCCAGAAAACATGCAAAGACATGACTGCACATGGCGCCAAAGACAGCTGGCAAGGGGGACGTGCCCTCAAAGCCACACGAGATGCTGCTGCGCCCTGTCAGAATGGGTATGATAAGAAATGGTGGCAGAGGCGGGGTCGAGATGGTGCAGAGGGTAGATGCTCTGTGCATCTCCTCTTGCGACCACACCGAAATTGTGACAAAACCACAAAGCGAACAGCCGGCAGAGTCGCCTGGGGTCTGGAGGAACAGAAGCCCTACAGCTAGGGAGAGAAATAAGAGGTCAGCCTGGAGGCGACCAGAAGCGAGGCTGCTGGGTCCGCACAGCTGGGCGAGACGGAGGCTACGCAGCCGTGGCCGGCAGGTGCAGACGTTCCTCCTAAGGGGGCCGTGACTGTGACCGGACTTTTGTGGTGACAGACTCTTCGCTCTGAGCTCCGGCGCTGGGGCGGCTGCTGGGGGGGACACTGAGTGGTAGGCTTTCTGGGCCACAGCCAACATCATAGACGGAAATGACGTCATAGACGGAGAACAGACCAGTGGGTGCCAGGGGTTAAGGATGAGGGCGGTGGGGAGACCCTGAAGGTGACAGATGACCTTGGCCTGCCAGTGCCCACGTCCCAGGAGGAGGCCGGGCGGAGGGCCCAGGGACTTCCCTGTACTGTTTCTCACAGCTGCACGTGGACCTACCATTTTCTCAAAATGCTCAGTAGACAAACACACACGGCCCCCGTTTCTGTGCCCAGCAGCGCCCCACTCCTCCCCTCCCGTCTGGAGCTTGTCCAGCAGGCTGCCCTTCACTGCCCGGCCCGAGAGCCTGGGCGGCTGCAGCCCCCTCGGTGCAGACAGGGACAGCGTCCACTCACACACTGTCACTGCCGGCTGTTCTCGGCATCTCTGCTTTCAAATATCCCATCACGGAGGTCATCCCGGACACACAGACCCCTGGGCCTTCAGCTGGCACTGACCATGTCCTCGAGGAGCGAAGCAGGAGGAAAAGGGCCACATCGTCCCCGCGGTCTGCACCGACAGGCCCAGCGCTGTGGCCACCAGTCACGCGGCAGAGCAGTCAGCGCAGAGCCACAGCTCAGGGCGTTTTCTGTTCATAGTTCCCTTGAGAAAAGTGGCGTCACCCAAACATAGGCTTCGGGAACACTAGGGCTGGGGGGGGGCCCAGCTGCTGTAGAGCGAGCCTTCAGCTGGCCCCCATCCCTCCACCGGAGCAGAGTGGACCCCTGTGGGCTTCCCACTGGGAAGGGCGCCCTGTCCACGCAGTGGTATGGGGGAGGGGCACCACAGGGTCCAAAGTGCCAGCCAGTGCAGGGCCAGAGCCTGGGGACAATGCCCAGTGCAGGGCCAGGGCTGGGGACAATGCCACCCATACATATAATTTTGCACGTATCCGTGAATGTGATCTTTGATTTGGTTTTAAAACCACCTTTTTTCTTTCGTTCTGTGGCTTACACTGTGCCTTCTGCCGCCTCTGCACGCAGCAGCACCCTCTAAGACAGCCATGCGAGCGGCGCACTACGCCCCGACACTGCGTCCGCGTGTGACCCCATACGAGCCCGGCTCCGCGCATCCCGGCGCCCGAGGCAAGCTGACCACTGGGGTGTCGCCTGCACGTGCGCCCCTCCTTCACCCAGCAGGACCCAGTGGACAGTCTCACCTCGCCTGTGCAGCCCAGAGTGGTCGGTTCCACTGATCCACGTCTCTATGCTTCACCGATGCCGCACTGGTTTGATTGCTGTGACTTCAGAGTACGTTTTTAAACTGGCTAATGTGATCCTCACACTCATATTCTTGTTTTGCAAAATTGTTTAAGCTATTGCAGGTTTTCCAACTTTGCATATAAATTTTAGAAATAGCCTGTCTATTCCTTCAAAAAGTCCTGTTGGGATTTTGATTAGAATTACAATTAATCTATAGATCAATTTAAGGAGAACTGATAGCTTTTCTATGTTGTCTTTCTATCTAGGAACATGGTATTCCTCTCTGTTTCTTAAGGCATTATTGTACTCAGGATTTTGTGGTTTTCAATGTACAGATGTGGCGCATGTTTTGTGTGGACCTATACTTAAGTATCTAAACTTTTTGAGCTATTATAAATTATATTAAAATTTTTTTGGTTTCCAATTATGATTTTCCTGTCACAATCTTGCATCCTGAGACATTGCCAAATTTATATATTAGTTCAGGTTTTTCTCATAGATTCTTCGGGATTTTCTACATAGATGATCATGACATCTGTGAATAAAGACATTTTATGTCCTCCTTTCCAGACTATGTACTTTTATTTCTTTTTCATTGGAGTAGCGAGAACTTCCGGTAGAATGCTAAGAGTGGGAAGAGATTTCTTTGTCTTGTTCCTTCTTTCAGGGGAAAAACATTGACTTTTGCCATTACGTGTGACGTAAGCTGTAGGTTTTTGTAAATGCCCCTTACCTGGTTGAGGAAGTTCCTGTTTTACTGAGTTTTTATTATGAATCGTCAAATCTTCTTCTGCATCACGATGTGTAATCTCTTTTTTAGATCGTTAACACAATGGGTTATAATGGTGGATTTTCAGCTAATGAACCAGCCTTGCATTCCTGGAATAAAGCCTACTTCATCGTGGTATGTTATTCGTTTTATATACTATAGTGTTCGATGATCATACTTTGTTGAGGATTTTCGCATTTGGTTCGTGTGGGATATTGGTCTGTAGTTTTGGTCTGTATTCTTAGGGGTGGGCACGTCGGAAATGCTGTCCCCATGGTGTGAGTTGGGGCGCATCCTCTCTTCTGTTTTTCTGGAAGAGACTGAATAGAATTGGTGTTACTTCGTTAAATGTTTGGCAGAATTTGCCATTGGGCCTGGAGACGCCTTTTTCCGTAGGTGTAACTACAAATTCAATTTTTAAAATGGTGATAAGGCTGTGATGTTTTAATTTCTAATACACACATATCTGGTCTTCATCCATGATTGGCTCGCAGCTCCTCAAAGCTTTGAAATTTCTCGAGTACTAAGAGCAATGGAAGCGTCTTCCGATACAACATGGGGCCTTTTGTCCTCAGGTGAAGTTGATTCAGAGCCAAGAAGGTGAAATGGGTGTTCACAAGCCCCTTTCAACCGCACCTGGCTTTATGTTAATGAACTTAAATCCTCTAAGGATGGGAGCTGGTTGCCAGGGGAGCCAACCAGGATTAGAGGGTTGGAGTCTCCCTAAAAACCCAACAGGAGGGGGCTCAGAGAGTTTCCAGACTGGGGAACCAGAAAGCCAGCCAGGCCCAGGGCCCAAACTCCACGGCACTGATGCTCCCGTTAGGGACCCTCCAGCCCTTGGCCTCCTCGTCTCTTCCCCTGGCTGCCCGATCGTACCCTTTCACATCCTCTCAACAAACTGGGGCGCTCGTAACTTAATGGGTTTCCTGAGTTCCGGAAGTCATTCGAGCAAATGGATCAAGCCTGAGAAGGGGGTCATGACCTCCAATTTACAGCCTGTCAGTCGGAAGCAGAGGAGACAACCTGGACTGGCATCTGTAAGTGGGGGCAGCTTATGGGACTGAGCCCTTGACTGTGGGATCAGGTGCCATCTCCAGGTCAATAGTGTCAGAATTAAGTCAAATATATGGGACACCCAGTCAGTGTCCCACAAAAATTGGAAAATTGCAGACGTGCTTGGTGGTGTTGGGGAAAAAAACACATATTGTAAGGACCATCCCAGTTCCTATGTCATCTTGAGTGAGTTTTGCAAGTTCGTGGTTTTTTGAACGGGTCCATTTCATCTAAGTTGTCAGCTTGTGTGTGCGTGGCTGTTTTTCGTGTTCCCTTCTTATTCTTTGCATGTCTCCATGGCCTGTAGAGATAGCCTCTTTCCTGAGATTGGGAAATCATGTCTTCTTTCATTTTTATCTATCTTATTAAAGACTTATCAATGTATCGATATTTTCAGAGAATGAGCTTTTGTTTTCATTGATTTTTCTGTTGTTTTCAATTTTGTTGATATCTGTTCTGCATTATTTCCTTCCTCCTGCTTGCTTTGAGTTTTTTTAGTCTTTGTTGTATAGTTTCTTAAGATGGATGCTTACTCGATTTGTAATGTAGGCATTTAGTGCTATATATTTCCCTCCAAGTGCTGCCTTATCTGCACCGTATGAACTTTGACATTTTGTTTTAGTTCAAGTTATTTACTAATTTCCCCTAAGACTTCCTCTTTGTATATGTATATGTGTATATGACCTATAAACTATTTAGAAGCAAACTGATTAATTTCTAAGTTTCTGGAGAATTTCTTACTATCTGTCTGTTAGGGATCTCTAACTTAATACCAAAAAGTCATATACCATATATGATTCCAATTCTTTTAAATCTCCTAAGCTGTGGTATATCTAGTGAATGTTTCGTGTGCACCCGAAAAGTGTGTTTTACTGTTGGGTGGAGAGTTATACGTGTACACGTGTGCACATATGCATGTGCACACATGTGCATGTACCTGTACAGGTGTGTGCATGTGTGCAAATGTACATGGTGGGGGGACAGCGCCGGGAGCCCTGAAGCAGGACGCGACAGCCACACTAGAGGCCGAGCTTTCGCGCCTGCAGAAAGAGCAGCCTCCCTGCTCCCGCAACAGCGGACGGGCCGTTCCCTTTCTGGGTCACACCTCCCACGTCTGCTGTGGGTAACTGTCTTCCCCAAATCAGGGGAACATAATCGATCCTCTAAATTAAAAAGAAACAGGCATTTCGCACGTGTGTGCGCATAGCAGGAAAAAATTTATAAACACATCTCCACCTCGGTTTTTCACTCAGTATTCCCTAATCATTCCACATCAGGACACACAAAGCTTTGTTCTTTTTAGCGGATGCCTAGAATTCCGTCAAGACGTATAATAACGTGAATTAGTTTTTTAAGCACATGGATATCAACCTGTGAAAGTATTATATTTATATTTAGTGTCTCTCTAATTCTTTTTGTTTCCATAGTAAAAAAGCAGAGAGGGAAAGGCAGGTAATGTGTGACATAAAAAGTTAACCCCAAACGCTTCGACCTTAGTTGATGCTAAATCGAGAAACAGGAAACAGTCCGTGAGTCACCTGGCTGGCCTTTCCACAGCAAAATAAAAGTTCCGAATCCCATACGACACGCCCACCCATGTTAACCCACGCGAATTCAGTGGGTCCCAAGCAGCTTTCATATGTCTTTTTAAAAATGCGTAATTTTTGTATTTTAAAAATTACGAACAATATAGTACCACTGTTAAATATTTGAACAATTAGAGTAAAACAGAAACACCTTCCAAGGTGGCCTCCGCAGCTCGCTGCCTTCCCTCCCCCCGCGCACACGGCCCACCCTCTGCAGTGGTCGCGGTCTCAGGCCTGCCCTGGTGACTGGACTCTGTGCCTACACCGCAGTCTAGCGCGAGTCCTGTGCCTACACCGCAGTCTAGCGTGAGTCCTGAACTCTTGACGCAGCACGTGTGCCTCCGTGCGGGCACGTGCTGCTGTCCCGTGCCATGGCTCCCTCCCCTCCCAGGCAGTGGGCAGAGCCCCCGTTTTGTTCCCTGGCACAGCGCTCTGCAGTACACATTTACCTGAACTTTACCTGCTGTGTCTGTCTCCCGGCAGCTGGCTCTCACCCCAAAGTCCAGGGCAGGAAGCCTACACCTCCCGGACCCTGGACTTCTGGTCAGGCTCCACCCCGGGGAGGCACTAGCAGCAGCTACTGGTGCAAGGGAGGGAGAAGCCACGTTTTCTGCGTCTGGCAGTGCTCTTGGCCAGGGGACAGCGCCTGCAGTGGGTGGCATGCCCCGCCCCTCCTGCAGGGTGGCAGTGGCTGTGGGCTCCTGGGTGCTGGGCACCCCTCAGTTCTAGCTGATGTCTCCTGCCTCTCTCTCCTCCAGCCCTTCTGGCCTTTTAGCGACTAAGTCCCCTACTTGATTCCTCTCTGCTTGTTTCCAGTCACTTTCTGGTACGAGCAACGAAGCGATGAACAGCCCTCTACGTACCTCCTTCGGGCGGATACCCAAAAGAACCGCGGACAACAGCGCACAGGGGTTTACACGCTGACGGGCGGCAAGATGTCCTTCAGCGAGTCAGCACAGAGCTGCGGTCCCATCTTCGCTGCACGGCTCTGCCAACTCCCCTAAACAATGCTTTTATTTTAACTGATGAGCAAAAGGGGATGTATTACTGTTGCTTTAATGTGCATTTTCTGATAAGCAGTACAAGTGAGGGCCTCGCGAAGTCTCTTGGCCAATTATATTTCTCTTCTGTGCACTGTGCCTTTGTATTAGTGTATTTCATATGGTGGTGTCTTGTCGAGTCAGTTATTAGCATATTCTGGATACCAATAATTCGCTGTTACCTATGTTGCAAATACTTTTATCTGTCTTGTCATGGGTTTTTAATTTTTTATTTGGCTGTATTAGAGTTTTATTTAGTCGAATCTTGTCCTCTTGCTTCAGGTTTTATATTCTGCTTAAGAAAACATTAACCCCACGTGTCCAAAGCACGAGTCTGTTTTCTCCGAATGCTTTCTATCTAGTGTTTCTCCCTTACTTCCACGTGTGGCATAACGAAGGGCCAAACTCTCCGCCAATGAACTTGCCCCAAAGCTGCTCGGTCGCCGTCTTCTCCGACTGGGCTGCTTCCTTCCTTGTGATCAGAATCCCCGACACGCAGAGGCCTGCCGGGTGCTCGGTTCCGGCCACCCGCAGCCTGATGCCGCCCCACTGCTGCAGCGGGGGCATGCTACACAAACGTAAGTGGGAGCTACGGGAGCCCCGAGTTTTTAATGAGCGAGTGCGAAGTCTCCTTCGTTGCCTCTTTTTCCCCCCAAATTTCTTGGCTTTGACAGTTTGTTTTCTGGGTGAACTTCAGACTCAGTCTGTCAAGTTCTATTTAAAAACTCTAGGTGGGATTTGGCTTCGGGTTGTACTGAACTAACGGCCTTGAGAACTGCTACTTTTACAATATTGATTAATCTCATTTGGGAGCAGAGTATATTTTATGTTTATTTTTCTGAGAAATTACGTATAATTGCCTTCACATAGCCTGTATATTAGGTAATGAGCATCATTGCTATGCATAAAATCTTTCTGCTTCCTGCGTTTCTAGCTGGTTACTTGGTGCACAGGATGCTTTGGTTCTCATATGCCGACCTTGTACCCTCGTGCCTTACTCAATCCGCTACTAGTGCCAGGTCGATACTCTCGGACGTTCTAGTCGCTCATCTTACTCAGCGTCCACGTAACGCACAGCACAGCTGATGGCCATTCCCACCAGAGGAGTCTTCCTTCGGAGCCTCCATGACCACACGGCACTGGTGGCCCAAAGTGTATCGAAGCTTGGGGGGAACTCTAAGGAAATGAATATAAAATTACAAATACAAAATTAGGTACAAAAATGAATATTTAGAAATCACGATCTACACATCTAAAAAACTGATTAATATCACAAGCATCAAGTATTATGTTATGTGTCTGGACTTTGTGATCTTTATCCTATATATCCAGAAAAATAACGTAACATTTGTATTAAACGTCGGAAATACTGCTATGACGTTTCCACTGAACTACCTGCTGTATACTCTCTGAGCGCTTCTTCCGATGACAATTTTATGGTAGTTTATCAGAGAGGTCGACTGAATTAAAAACATTTTTATATCATTGGTATTCACGACTTTTTTTTAAAAAAAGTCTCATATGTATTGCAGAACCAGCCCACTAGCGCAGAAGCATATTGCCAAAGAAGAAAAGGATTTTCCCAAGAATTTCCCCATAAGACAAGCCCAGCTGTCTGGACAGGCGTGGTCTCCCCAGTGCCTGGGTGAGGCCCGAGCAGCCAGACACAGCATGAGCACGTGTGCCACCTCGCGGATCCCTTACAGACCCAGCTGGGTTCTTCTCCAGTGTCTCCCCTTGGAGTTGTGTCTGGTTTTGTCACCAGTTTTTGTCTGAATCCACTGGGGAATGGGCCGGTTCTGCTTTTGTTTCTTGGCGCGGAACTAACTGCCTGCTCCAGAAAGTCTACGAGAAGACAGGGTGAGCAGGAGTCAGCCACACGCGCCGCGTGGCAGAGACGGCACACACGCGTTCTCGTGGGTCGTCCTGCTGCACGTCGTAAAATCACTGTGAACCTGGAAAAGGCTCTATCAAGTTTCTTCCATGTCCAAGCTCCCACTTTCCTGTGAAGTGTCAAAAATCTTCAAAGTCTTTCGGGGATCTCTGAACTAACGCTCTCTGAGCCAGGTCTGCCCTCGTGGTGTGTGACGCGCTCACCCATCCTTGTCATCGGTATAAAGTGCCAAATCTGGGAGGACACACCTCTTCCCAACATGCTCACCTCCTGCTCCATCCCCATTAACCGGATCATATGACAATCCAAGAGCCTGTTCAGCGCATCTGTTCGGCGTCTTCCTCTTCCTCTCAGTGAAAGGTGTGATCTGAAACATTTTCTACTAGGTTTCGTGCCTTGATGTCTCAATAACTTCTACTGACTTAAGAGTTCACCTCTAGTATTTTTGTTTCATAGTTCATCAATTAAAATTTCCCTCAGTTCTTTCAGAAATAAATTTGAGGGTGGCAAAAGACAGTATCCTTCACACGTGTCTAAAGCAGGACGGCTTTAATTTCTTCTTTACACGGAGGTACTGCAGAACACCTGTCCAAATGCACCTTCCTAACGCGGGCTCTCGCGCCTGGGAGCCAGGAGATGCCTGCCATCCCCTGGGCTCCTGGCCAGAGACGGAGCACAGTGGAGGAGACGCTGGAGGGGGAAGAGGCCGACTGGGATGGAACGCTTTAACCTGACAGATGTCATAACACGGTGACGGAACCCATTGCTAGAATCCCTCCCAGTGCCCTGGGGGCCTGTGCCAAGCCCCACGGGCCTCATGCTGAATCAGCACCCTCCCCCCGGCCTCCCTGAGCCACCAGCAGC